AAACTTACTATTTGCTTACATGGTGTTTGGTTAACCTGTTCTATACTTATTTGCTTTTCATAAGTGCCTTCAAATAAAACTTTTTAATTAGGTTGATTAGTTCTCCTCCCCCTCAACTATAACTATTTTAAATATGTTCCATTTCCTTAGCATGCGACTCCCATAGTGCCATATTCATTCTTGTTATTTCGCCTTTTTGCATTTGGTTTTCCTTTTATCTCTATAGCTATTTTGGGTTTGGTAGTGGGATTCTCATCTAGGTTTCATATTTCCCTTTTTCTTACTATTGCCGACTTAATATCCATATGCCGCTAAGCTACATTTTGTTTTTGTAGCCTCTCACTATGAACTTACGTTTTTCATTATTTTTTAATACTTTTTTTGAAAAACGCTGCATTTAATCGTGTATAGGCTAATCTATCACATAAAGAGCACGCCAGATGTTTTGATTGTCTTTCAATCTTTAAGTATTTTATTTCTACTCTTTAAGCTTCACACCCTCCTAAGCTCAAATATTTTCTTATTCTTTGGTCAAAGTGATCATACTTCGTCCGTTATTAATTGTTGGGGAGACTTTTATTTCGTATGAAAGGGCATGATGAGGAGCTTCATATGTCGATCTCAAAAGATGATGGCCGATTTATGTTGTTTTACAGCCGTTTCTTAATACGACGTTCAAGTTGACACAGTCCACGAGACATCCTCCCACGTGGACTGTGTCTACCTTAACATCGTATTAAAACCTAATGGCTGCAGTACAACGAAAATCAGCCTTCATCTATTACTAAGATCGACCTACACATCACTTCGTGCACTTTCATACGAGATGAAAGTCTCCTTAACAATGTTATCTTAAAAGATTGATCGAAACCCAATTACTTTTCGTGTTTACTTGTTATTAATGTCTAAAATTACTGATAAATGATATAAGGAACGAACTTTGCTGTCTCATTTCTGTTGCAATCTTTCCATTGCGACGACTTAATTTCCTGTTTAGACTTTGTCAGACAATCGCATATTTTTTCTGGTGTTTTTTTTTGTTATTCCTCGAGGAATTGTGTGCCCACCTCTGCTTTTTGCCTTCCCTCAAAATTCGTGCACTCGTTCGGTCTATTTCAGCTCCGCCCATTATCTCCGTTGTGACTTATTTTCACAATATTTAAAACTATTTCTACAATAATAAATATGTCTATACATTAAGTTCCGGGCATTTAAAGTGTTGTACATAAACCTATCTTTTATTCTGCATCCAATTTTATTTCCTATTCATATTTTATATTAATCATTTCAGTTATATAGTTTTCAATTGCTTCGCGGCCTTGCTTACGTCCATGGCCGCAATATCTGTCATCGAGACATCAAGCCACAGAATCTGCTTGTAGATCCAGCGTTTGGAATCCTAAAAATGTGTGACTTTGGCAGGTCTGTTTACATGGTTTTATTCTTATTTTTGGATGCACATGCGTAAATCTTAATGCTAGCTGGTTCTTAGAGCTCCATTTTTGAATCTCATAGTCTTCTAACCGGTCAGATTTGATTAGAAGTCTTGACATTCATTATGGATCGCAGTCTCGAGTTCTCATAAAATCATCACCTTGAATGAAATAGCGTGAACACAGTTTATGTGTCTGATTTATTAGTAGTCTCGAAATCCTTCCGAAACTAGAATCGACTTAGTGTTGGTTATACCTTGTGGAGCGTACCTAGTCCTGCGTCTTCTGTCATAGTATTCGTGATTTTTAGCATCGGACAGTTTACCTGGTACATTCCTAAACGTTTCACCGGCAGCGTCTGCGAGAGGCGCCATCGTTAGCACAGAGTTACAACTTATTAAAGTGACAAGTGAGGGCAACCAATTTTGCGTTGTGGCATCACTCTCCGTCCCTATTTTTTGTTCTATCATTTAGTGCTGTATCTCTTTCAACCCTACTTCATATGGCCCATCCTACCTATTAATATCCATGATCTAAACTATACTTGCCTGCATCATTTCGTAGACAACTAAATTGGAGACAATGAAGTAGCCATTTTTAATTTTGGATTAATCGAATTTTTATGCTAGCCATTACTTATCAATTGATTCTGATTTGTCTTTCCATTTCTAAAGAAAAGTTGGTTGGAAGGATTTCTTTGTGTGATCTTACCTGAAACCGAAGGAGAATTGTCCTGTGGTTCAGACTGTTATATTGTGCAAAAAGGTCCTCAGCTCATTGTTCTGTGCCCCCGATGAACCTATTCTAAGCTTTCGTCTGTACTCTGACATATTTACTAAACCAGGGGGAAAATTATGTATATGAATATATATTTGTTTCATTTCGTAAAGTATGAATTCTTTCTCTTATTATGTCTGCTACAATACAGACTAAAGCTTAGCATAGGTTCTTTGGGGTCGCAGGACTGTGAGCTGAGGAATTCCCTGCGCAATACAACGGTACTCACTACGCGGTAATTTTCTTTCGGTTTTCCGTGAGACCAGATCACGAATTCCTTCCAGCCAACTTTTCCTTCGAAATGGAAAGTTATACCATAATAAATCACTAAGGAATTCCCCGGAATCCAGTTTCTTTTCATATCTTCAGGGGAAATAATATTTTGAATAATAGCCTGTATATTTTCGAGTACCATAAATACTTAGATGGAGATGTTAATTGTATTAGTGACAACTACACTTATATACATTTTTTTGTTGGCTCCTATTACACCCTTTTAATTTAAGCGCCAAAGTTCTCGTGCCCGGTGAACCTAACGTTTCCTATATTTGCTCACGGTATTATCGAGCTCCCGAACTCATCTTTGGTGCCACCGAATACACTGTAAAAATTGGTAATTTTTCAAATATTTTTCTCATATATATGCGTATATATTTTCTCTTATATTATATTCTTATTATTATTTTGATAGCTTTGTTAACCTTCATATCCGGACTCGGTCGTGCCTTAATCAAACCGAGTATTTTTCGTTGGACACTGTTTCTCTACTTAACTCTTTTATTTCCTTTTTTGCTAACTCATTATTTTGCTACTATTTATGTATTCTCAGATATGTGGTCTGCTGGCTGTGTGATTGGCGAACTGCTCTCTGGTCGTCCCCTCTTTCCAGGCGAGTCGGGTGTTGATCAATTAGTCGAGATCATTAAGGTGCTTGGGACACCAAGCAATGACGAGATTCGCGCCATGAACTCGCAGTATTCCGAATTCAAGTTCCCCAACATTCGTGGGCATGATTGGGAAAAAGTGAGTTTAATATATCGATTTTCTTTATCATGGCTTTGAGCATATAAACAATTTATATAAACCTATGGTTACATTGAGAGCGATTGGATGCAAATCATGATTTTCACCATACAGCTATAGTTATATAACTAAATGTTTTTGTACAACAATTTAAGAGGAACGAATTAACTACACTTTTTGCATTAATTTTAGATAAATATTGAAGATTAGCGAGGTTAAACTTTACGAGTTCTTAAGCATATATTTTAAAAAATCGAGCTATGTATTCGGGAATCTTGATTATAGAAGATATTTCAATATTTATTTTCCAAGGCTGGTTTTATCGTGTTTATCTTATATCTTAGTTGATGATACATCGCATGATTATTATTAAACGAATCGTCCTTTTTTCATTAAATCTAAGTGTTTTTTAAAAGATACTAAGAGAAACTGGGTTTCGATGAATCTCTTGAGATAACATTGTTAGGCGGACTTTCATTTTATATGAAAGTGAATGAAGAAGAGATTCGTTGATTGATCTCACCATATGAGGACGGATGAATCTCGTTGTACTGCAGCCGTTTGGCTTTTACATGATATTCATTTTGACGCAGTCCACAGGACTTCCTCCCTCGTTTCGGGTGAAAACCTGCTGAGATTTCGTCCATCATATGGTGGACATCATCAGAGCTGGGTGTCATTCTTGTAAAAGTCTCACGTCAACACTAGGACAAGAACATTATCCGGCTCTATACTACTTCTTTTATATAGACTCAATTAAACCAAAAGATAATTAAAAATTTAGATAGATCGATATAGAGTGGTTTAATTAATTATCTTTCATACTGATCCCGTTACCTTTGCTCGAGTGTATGCGTATGTGTATTTGTGCATGCTAGCGTCTATACGTAATGAGGTTTCTAAATCAGAGTTGTCAAAGGCTTAATCTCAGGTTCTGATCCTCAAAACTTAATTACCCAAAAGAAAGCATTGACCGAGAAAGCAAGCAGTACCACAACATTTGTGTGTTGGCACACAAGATACTAGGGCATGGGAAGTCATAGACTAGGTATTAGACATAGAAACAGGATAGACGCGGCGGCTAGTGGGCTGACAGTAGGTCCATGTGGCAAAGGCATGATCATGAGACTTACTCAGAGGCTTTAGCCTCTAATTAGTCACATAGACACAGGGGATGGCGAATAACGCCTCGAGTGGCAAAGATGGGTTGGCAGGGCTCGAGTGAAATATGTGAACCAGGGAGAGGGCAGACGGATCTTACGGGGCAAGAGAGAAACTGTGATAAGACCTAGGGAAGGATGACTGCGTAACAATATGGCAGACTCTGATGAACATTCCCAGCACAAGGATGAAGGGGGGTGAGAAGGCCAGTGTGGAGTGCGGAGGGTTCTCATGAAAGCTGCTCAAGAGGGCACACCGTACCACATTTAATTAAGCAAGTAAAAAATTGTGACAGTGAAGGCGTGATAGGAGGGTATAGCAAATGTGAATAGGCCAGGGCAGAAGGAGAGATACAATAACTGTTTAGCACACGTTTGGTCAAAGGGTCGGCTTTACTTGTCTCTTTGGTGAGTTGTAATATGGTGCTACGAATGGCAAAACTCACTGTCGATACCGGCGAAACGTCTGAGAATGTACCACGTCCACGGTCCGACAATGGACTCCAGACAAGGTGCGTTCCTCTAAGTCTTACTACCAATATGACCAAGTTGTGAAATCAAGTTCAAACAACTTCTATACAATGAAAAGAGACTGCGACCACACATAAGGCCACACCATCTTGGTCTTCATACCTTCCATATTATTCATATTTGCGGACTTATTCAAATGACCAACCCCTACTTATGTTGAACATGTACACTAGCATCATCGAGGAAGGCTCACCAAACACATGATTCTCCCTCCTGTCACTTTTTAGGCTCCTTTGCTTCTGATCTATTACTTAGTTATCATATTAACATTTCCCTAGCGCCCTTAGTTCTGGCTTTATTTGAACTCGCTAGTATTGAGCTCCACGTTACCATCCCATTACTTTTAAGTATAACCTAACCCTGAGGTCCCGCTTCACCCAGTTTCGTGCGTTTACATAGATTACTGGATGTCACGCGTAAATTCACAACTAATCGCCATCATTTAATGCGTTACTGACACCTGACGTAGCTTACGGCCCTTCCTAGCCTCCACTAACATTCTAGTGAACTTGATGTATATTTACACCCTGAACTTCGCATAGCTAAGCTTACCCATTAAGATGGTTGTGGCCGTGCTCTATGAACCACCCTCTGACAACTTTATTCAAACCCCCTTACTCCAATTGCCTTCTTAATTCAATTTTTCCCTACCTGCCGATGCCTTTCCTGTTGTTCGATAGATGGCATTGATCCAAACGTCTTCTTTTAGCTGTCCATGATGAATTCTGAATTTATCCATGTCTGCTCAAACAATAATCAAAATTCTTCCTGACTTTTCTCTTCCAATTTTCGGTCACTGGGTTCCTTTGAAGGAGTTTATCCATGGCTTCTTTGATTTTAATATCATATTTTTATCATCTGAAGCCAGTCTTTTTTGCATTCCAGACAATCGTATGACCGGCCAGTGCAATTTGTTCGGCGATCCACGATCTTTCTGTTTTCATAATTTTGGAGAGTTGATAGTATTCTTTAGTTTTTCTGTTGCTTATCTTCTGTTCTCTACTGTACTTTTGTTAAAAGTACTGCATTTGATGCAGTAACTCTGGAGATATTATTTTGTTGTATTTTTTCATGCTGTAGAGGTAAGCTTGTGAGGTGTTGTCCTTTCATTGAGGACAACATTTGCAGCTTCCGGACCTTGCCGCGTATGGGTTTACAGCAGTTCATATCTCTCTACCTTGTTTTTCTTTCGCAATTCTCGTCCTGCAATCTGTTCATCATGACCATTTTATATTATTTCCTTTGAATCTCAAATCCAAGGAACATCAAAATTAGTTTGTCCAGTTTATCTATCCAGTAATAAATATAATTTATCATTAGGCTTTTATATAATTATGTTTCTGAGTATTATATTCAGTCCACAATTATAGTGGGACTAGAAATATGTGATTATTCCTGTCTGTTACTCCTTTATGAGTTGCTTTTCTTTAGAGAAGCGAATGATTCGTACATCCAAGAATTACAATTGGTCTTTATCTTCGTTTTCATCTGAAATTTGGCTCTTTCACTAATATCGTTTATGAATATTAAGAACTCATTCAATTTTTATTTTATGTTCTACCATAGTGCAAATTATTCTTTCAGGTATCAAATTATTTCTGTTGTCTGCTGAGCTGGAATCTTGAAATACCTCTCCAAGTTGTTTATGTAGGCGTTAGTCAGTGAACAGGAGAGTGGTGATTCCATGGATAGATCTTATATTTGGCTGTTGTTCTTACCGTCATGCTGATCACTGGAGTTCAAGTACCATTTCGGATTCTCT